GCTAAATCCACATTTTCTAAAACTAGTAAATTAGAACAGAATCTGCATATCAATGTATCCTCCAACAAAACATGAATTGATCCTAGATATTTAATTCATTTCTGGCTGCTGGGCAAATATAACATGGCAATGGCCTGTGTTTTGTAATGTAGCTATTTGAAGATGAGCCAGTTAAGTTTGTTTTATTTTAAAACAACTAAAAGGCTTCTACGTATTCTGGGAAATACTTGCAGAGGATGAAGGACAGAATGAGGTGGGGATAAGGAGAAGTCTCCATTAAAAATATGGTACAGTAATGGGAAGGAACAAGCTGAAAGAGGAATGAGGAACAGATCTTACTAGAAGGCAGAGCTCGTATTTCCCAATCTTACAACACAAAACTTGCCAAAGCTTAAATCATACTTGAAAAACAAGGTGCCCACTAGTGACTGCTCCTGTCCAAGGTTAGAAGAACACAGAAGACTAAAAGCACAGGCCTTGGAGTTAACCAACCCAAGGTCTGATGGTGCAGATACGTGTGCAGTGACAGCTTCTCCAAACCTCTGTTCCATCCTCAGTAAAACACGCAAAGAACAGTGCTTATCTCAGAAGGCTGAGGTGACACTTAAGGTGACCACGTACATATTAGGCACAGTGTCTGGCAAGCGCAAGCCCTCAGTCAAAGCTATTTCTCTTTCATCCTTGGTTATGGAATAATCTCCTTTTTTGGGTGTTCTTTCCCTCTGTTTTCCCCATCAAGATCTGCTGAATATAAAGAGGCAGAACCTGTAAGAGCTGCAGGTCAGTATTGCTAGGTGTAGAAAGCCACCATAGTGTAAGCTGGCCAAGCTATGAGATAGATTTCCACCTGGGCAGGAAGTAGTCAAAAAGCCAAAAAGTCTTGCTGTTTGCCCAGCCTGCCTCTTGGTTTCCAATTCTCATGGCGGGTCCTATTTCCCGCTGTTGCCTTGTTCCTGTGTTTGGCCTTCTTTTCTGTTTTTAGAGGAGTTCCTGTTTCTTGACCTCTATTTATCTCCTTGCCTTCCACTTGGAGATCTGTGCCTTTCTGGTTTTTAACTGCCTGTTGCTTTTAACCATGTCCTTCCTCTTGCCTTTGGGAATTTATAGGCTTCTTCTAACTTCCTGATTGGCACCTTGCGTTTCCTGCTTTTTGTCCTTTGATTCATGTGCCCTCCTTTCTTCTGCTTGCTTATGTGGTCTTTGACTCACTCATCTTGTCTCTTTCTTCGGCATTTTATACCAGGTAGGTTTTGATCCAGGCTTTGTTATGACTTATGGATGCTGCGTGCACCCTGGCTTGTAAGTGCTTACCTAGATGATGTGCAAAACATTGAGCAACTGGTATAAAATGGACACTGCCCAGTCAGAATGGTTGTTTATCAACAATGAGAACAGTTGTCCCCATGCACACTGCCTGAATAGCAGCCCAGTTCAAGGGACCTCCTGGTCCTTTCTTAGGGCTTGTGCCTCAGCTTGTCTCCTTTCTCCTCTTGTCCAGGTTTGGCATGGCTGGCCTTGTGCCCTGTTTCATGAGCTCATGTCACTCACAGTCCTGTAGCTGACTTTCTCATCCCCACCCTACCTAACTTTTACTAGGGGAACCCAGGAATACTGATGACACATGTGAAAGAGGTAATAAGTGGGGCAGCTTTGATGCCAAAATAGGATGGCAATTCATAAAAGCAGAAATAGGAAGAAATCACAGCTTTAAGGAAGGTTGTGCTGAAACATGTGACCAAGGCCAAGGAACTCAAAATGGCTTTGGGAGTAAAGGTGGCTATCTCAGTCCATGGAAGAGCCAGAGCAGAAGAGCGCGTCCCATTTTACACAACCACGAAGCCTGAAAGTTATGTAGAATTGACTTTTTGGTGTACTGAAAATAAAAATGGTTCATAGTATACAACAAAGGACTAAGCAGGATAATTTATAGGAAGAAAGATGGGAAATTTAGGTTGAAAAAGTAGACGGATCAAACTGTTATGATCCATTAAAACCAGAAACTGAAATTTGAATTCTAATCTGTAGGTAATGGGAAGCACAAATACTTACAACTTACACATTTAATCATATGTCCTGATCTATCACTCAAAAATGCATTAAAGGCAGTTTCTCAAAGTTGGTTCCATGTAATGACAGTCCCTCAAGATATTTTTCATTTTTTATTTTTGCACGCAGTTTGGGAAACATTACAACATTACATATCCCATCCTATGGACATTCCCACCCCATTTACATCCCCATATACAATGATCATTAACCCATGAAAGGCTCCGAAAGTCAAGAATAAACCAACTTTTCCAGCTTTGCTCAGTGTTTTCCACATCTGGCTAGGCACTTTCTTTTTCTTATAACCCATTAACATTCTACATATTTTGGGGAATACTGATTGAGAGATTCACAGATACACACAGACATTCATGCAAGTAAATATGTATACTTTAAATTAATATTTTCATGTATACATATACACATACAATCCAGGAAAAGCAAAAATATCTTTGCAGCAAGGGATTTGCACCCTACCTAGCTGTCACTATCTCCACATTGTCTTTTACAGCTTTTTTTTTCTCGTCTAGGATTCAAAGTTCATACATCCCAGTTCACTGTTGTATCACTTGAGTATTTAATCTACAATAGTTGCCCCCCATTTGCTCTGCCCCATCCCCAAGTCTTTTGGTAGGAACACTACAGAGGTGAAATTATGCCTCCTTATTGCTTCACGATGGGAGACTCACAGTAGATGCTGCTAAACTTGGTCATTTAGTTCCAGTGGTAACCTCCTAATTTCTCCATTGTAAGGACAAATTTTCCCAGAGTAACCTGTGGTGAGATACTTTCAAATAATATGAAAATCCTATTCCCCAACTACCTTTCACTCAAAGGTTTTGGACCAGTTGGTAAGTCCTTGCCTTATTCAACTGTCATGTTAGGGTTTGCAGAGCGCCAAATTTCTGATTTTCTCATTCCTTCTGTTGTGTATTTCTTTTTCAAACAATGATCCATCCGTATGCATCTTCTCTTTTCTGTATATATACACTCTGGTTACTTCTTGTTGGGGCTTCCTCCCCCACCACCATGCTGACCACATTTGACCACTCATGCCCAGCCCTAGGGAGCCACTAACCCTTTATCTGCTGATCCCATCACTTCACCTTCAGCAAATTAAAGACAAAAACAAAAACAAACCCCATCACTTTGTTGCCCACCAATGTACAGTTCCTTATAAAAATTAAAATGATTGCAGTGCATATTTACTGGGTTAGACTGAAGAGAGTAGACAGAGAAAATCAGTTTTCTCTTAAAAAAATCAGATTGCTGAAGCTCTGAAAAATCTTTCCTCCTCACTAGGGCAGAGGCGCTTGTTGTCACAATCAGGCTTTCTGTAGTGCTGTTTGAAACAGAAACACTCTCATCTTCTCAGTTCCCTGAGAGGGGAGAATCTTGGAAGAACAGAGGTTTACAAATCATTTAGCCCAAACGCCCCACTTTATAGGCAGAGGCCCAGAGAGGTGGCGAGACTTGCCCAGGTCTCTCAGCTCCTCAATGGTCGAGCTAATAGGAGAACCTGGTTTTTGAAACACCTCCCCCGATATTCTTTTCATTCCCTTCCCAAATGCCTCGTGATTCAGATATGTAATGGGCACAGACGAAGCTGCAGCAAGCACGGCCTCCTTCACCGCTAATTTGCATTGTGACGGCATCACCTTCCTACCTCTGAATATTCTAAAAATTCCCATTAGGAGTCTTTTAGTATTGTTTTAAAAATTCACCTTCATTTTCGCAGGCCAACAGGGAAAATTTAGGAAGCCTCAATGGAGCACATACTACCATTACTTTAACCAGAAAAGTAATAACAATAATAATAAGGTTCTCGAGGATCCGCACGAGGCCGCTTTCTGGGAGGCTGAAACGCCCTGCGAGTGACAGCTCCAGCGATCTCAGGAAAGACGCCGGCCAGTCCACCCCTCCCCATCGCCTGCTGAACGAGGCAGGGAGATGCATACCGCTCCAGGAGCTCATCAAACATGCACAGGAAGGGGGAAAGTGGGGGAACAAAGCCCGGCGTGGAAGAACACAGCCCCGCAGCCCGGGAGGACAGGAGACCGCGCCCTCCACGCC